CCTTCAGTGGGTCTATCCAAAAGACTCCCAAATTGCATAACTCTTATCTCGAGGAGGAAAGGGGAAAGCCCTTAAATTATAAATAGGAGATGTGAAGGAGAAGTAAAGGCAAGAGTAATTAGCATTACAAGTTCTAGACAGGGAACTAGAAAAAAGTCAGAACAGGGCAATTTTCAAATGTTCATATGAGAGCCCATTGGAGTTTTTTGACAAGGGCTTCCAAAAGCATCCTCTATTGGATTTTTTAATTGATAAAATGAAAATAAAAGTAACTGATAAAGGATTTGTGAGGTTCAAATTAGCTCATTAAAGTATCAAGTGTTGTTCCAACCACATACTGCATGGAGGTACACACCAGCACTTTTCTGTTTGCTGTGTATTACAGCATCAGAATGCTAACACGGACTTTCTAGGACATCACTCATCTAAATCTCAGGGTCTGATCCCACCTTTTTTATTGTACCCTTTCAAATCTGAGATACTGCTTTAAACTCCATAACTTAGATAGTCATGGTCTCCCATGAACCTATGAAATGAGCTATATCTTTATTTGTGTCCTGGAAATGTACGTTCGACTCATCACCAACTTGTTTGACTTCATAGTTCACTTTAATCTTTCTGTGCTGCGTTTAGTATTAGTCTTGATAGCTTGTCACAGTCTCCTATTGCCAGTGCCATTTGGGTTCATATTTTTATTTGTTTGGGGAGGGGCTCACTAGGGAGGAAGACAGAGTTATCCAAGTTCCAATCCCAAAGTCTTCCATATTTTCTCCCAGTGTATAAACTGCTTGCAACTACTGGCTCTGGGTCAAGCACTTCTCAGTGTTCTCATCTGCACATCCCTGGATCTGCCATAGCCAGCTCCATGCCATTCTGGTGGACTCACAATAGTACTCAGCTAAACACAGTGGGTGCCACAATCTGTCCCCGCCCCCAAATTTAATCGTGTTGCTCCCCTTAAATCTCTGATTATCTTTCTCTGCACAACAGGACCAAATGCCTCCATAGAGTATAAAACATCCCATAAACTCAGGACTTTAGCAAACTTTTAAAAAGGAGCAGATTTACTATGATTCTGCCTTATCTCATGACAAAGTGTCCATGGTGTCCTGGCTTCTCAAACTGTGGACTCCTGGGCTTCACAGGTTCACAGAGATGCCCTCCTTCCCTCCAAGCCCACATGATGCGTGTCCCATCTGGCAATGCCTTTTCCCACAAGACTTCTCCCAGAGAAGCTTTGGAAGATGATGCAGCAACGCTTTAAGTCCTTACAGAAACTGTGTCAAGAGACAAGGATGTCACAAGATTTGAATTTCTTAGTAGCTCTATTTTTAGTAACTCTATTTTTCCTAGTAACCCCTATTTTAGAGATATTGGAAATAGCAACAGATTTTTTTTTTAATTTAAACTCTCACTGGATGACCAAAACCCTGTATCTTTAATGATTGTGCTTTAACTTATCTATTACAGAAATTACAAGAAATACATGAACATCTTTGCACATGACAAAACTGATGCCTACAGTACAAATGCCATATCAGGACCATGTGCTAAACCAGGAAAGCCTGATCTCAACTTCACCATTAAAATCCATGTCAATTTCTTTATACAAACAGGTTTCTTTTATATATGTATAAAAGAAATATATATATATTATTTTTATTTTACATGTAAGAGTGTATTGCCTGCATGTATGTGAGTGCACCCATGTCATGCAATGTCCAGGGAGGTCAGAAGAGGGCTTCAGATTCCCCTGGAACTGGAGTTAAGGACGGTTCGTAGCCGCCATGTGTGTGGTGCTAGGAATCAAATCCAGGTCCTCTGCGAGAGCAGTCAGTGCTCTTAACCGCTGAGCCATCTCTCCAGCCCCTCTTTAAACCTCACCTCCCTCAGTGACTCACTTCTCATGTCCCCACGGTAGATGGCAGTGCCTGTATTTCTGCTGCTGTACCTGGAACACTGGAATCAGGTAAGAAGTGTTTCCACGTACTCAGCGAGTTCTTGGCATTGGCTCCACGTCTGGGCAGCTTCCTCAGTTGCATGTTGGGGTGCTACACTGATTTTATTCATCATTTGGTTTGGATATCTGCTTTTCTTCAAACCAATATGTAAACTCCAAGGATGTGGCACTACCCAGTATATATTTGGTTTTCAACATTTAGCACAATTTCTTGCATGTAGAAGGTACACAAATATTTTTAAATAAACAGAGAGTTATGATTGGGGTGTTTCTCTGATATGGATAAGGCAGATGAAAAGTAAAAGGACTGTGTTTAGTTTCAGCAAGAACACACTGTCTTTTCTTACAGCCCTTATCATTTGACCTTACAAACACAAGAGCTTTGGGTGGACCAAATTCTCTTCCTACATTTCCATGGCATTATTATTATTATTATTATTATTGTTATTAGAAACACATGCATTGTTCCAAAGATAGTAGTCATGGAGACTAGCTGTGCATCTTAATAGATACCACAGATCTGACAAACTATATATGCTTTGAATCCCACGTTTGGATTTATTTCACTGTTCTCATTAGAGTTCATTCTTTATTTTGCATTCATTATAAATTCAAAATGTCAGAAAGCCCTTGGTTCTACAAAGAGATCAAATATGTCTAAAGTGGATATCTCTGTCTCCCATTGATCTGAAAAGAGCAGTTAAGTGTTTTTTTCTCAGGCATAGCCAGACTTCTGGAAAATGAACGTTGGGTCTTTATTACAGCCCTAGGCTTTGTTTCATATGGGAATGCCAGTCTGCTTTCCACAGTCGTTATTGTTTGGTGCTGACTTCTACCTTCCAATTTCTTTGGCATTTGCAGTCCTCCTTGTTTCTCTTCTGCCTCACTTTTCTCTGTATGCTGCCTCCCAGTTATTGGTTTGTTTCATGCTGGCTGTGTGTGCATGGATGTGTGTGTGTGTGTGTGTGTGTGTGTGTGTGTGTGTATTCTTCTCTCTCCCCATCTTCATACAGTTGGCATATACCATGTGCGGTCCCAACTTTAGACATGTATCTTGAGTGTTTGTATGGGGGAAAGACCCTGGTTTTCTTCATACTAGCTGCAGAAAGATGGACTAAACTCATGCTCTTCCTAGCCACCTCGTTACACACCACTGAATCATGTCATTTCTAATTGGTACACTTTATATCAGTAATTTAGATGTTCTACATGATTGCACTCTGATATTCTCATACTCAGTACCTTCCAAACTTTTCAAGCTTTTACTACTTTAAATAGTAAAATGATATGCTTTTTCACAAGAAATTATTTATTTTGATAAATTGCTAAACTAATTTAAAAAATATCTGAAGCCTTTCAATCTTGTATTTGACACTAAAGAATTTTACTCAGAGAAGTAGATAAGATATACTATGTAATTTAGTGAAACTTTATTAGGTTAGCAGAAATATATAAATGTAAAAATAGGCACCGCCCAGAGTAGAACACAATATGGAATGTGTTATTATTGAAGTAATTTGGATGTTTAATTTCTCAGACTGCCATTTAGAATACTTTAGTATAATCCGCATTATTCAGGTGCAGATATTACATGTTATATAAACTTGGAATAAAAGTACATTTTTCAACTCAACTCTGAACTCCACCTCAGTTGTCATCAGCATCTCTACTGCCCTCAGAGGCCAATTTCACCTGTTGGTTTATTGATTGAAAACCAACATAATCATGGCTTCTTTAAAGGGTAATTGCTTCACAGTGTAAAATGTCAGGTGGGAAAATGGCTACCCTCTGACATCGGTTCTTTACTCTGGCCTTGACATGAATTTGAACATTTCACTCTGGTGTTACCTGTGGTCAAGTGTGATAACATGGGAATATGAATTGCATGTGTTTGCATGTGGCTACTCATGTGTATATATAAAGAAACTTTGGAAAGACATGCCTGGATCCCACTGACTTCAAGTGTATCATGTTGAGTCCTCTTTGGGCAGAAAAATAGGACTTAACTAGTATTGGTTCAAGAGACTTTGAGTAGACATGCATTATTTATACACATTATGTTTACTGGTTTTCACAAACCTCCTATAATAGAAAATTTTTTAAATACTATGATGAGCAGGCATGGTGGTGAACACCTTGAGTCCCAGGACTCCAGAGGCAGAGGCAGGCGGATCTCTATGAGTTCAAGGGCAGCCTGGTCTACATAGTGAGTTCCAGGCCAGCTGGGGCTACAGGGAGACCCTGTCTCAAAAAGACAAAACAAACAAACAAACAAACAAACAAACAACTCCCCCCCAAACAAACCCTACTCTGATGATATTTTAAAGATGTAGGAGCCTGCGTTTCCTTTGGTGGATAGAAGCATCATTAAATGGGCTTTTGTTTTATAACTTGTCTTATTAAGCCATTGGTAAGCTGCTCTTAAATGGTCTGCTCTTAAATTATGAAAGGATTTGAACTATTAAGCTTAAACCCTAAAAGAAAGATTTTAGAACCACTGACACACCCAGCATAAAAGTGCCTGTGGTCCAGAATATTTAAACCACACTATCCATTGTGATTTTAACAAAAGAAATCCTTTGCACAATACTGAAATCACAAGCTTATCTGTTTTAAAGTGATTCTTCTAAGGAAGGTGATGGAATGAACCCAGCTAAAAATCTCATTTTCACTGCCTTTATTTTCTGAATTTTTCATTTATTCTTATTGATGTTCCAAAAATGATAAGAGAGAAACAACTCTGTGTATCTTACTGGAAATGTAAAATTTCCAGTCTTTTGACTAAGAAACCAGATGCTGTAGCATTGCTGCCCCCAAAAAAACCCAGTTTGCACATTCTGGGGCTCGCGGATGGCATCTCGGCCTCTCGGCGCTGGAAATGTTTCATTGGAGTGACTGTTGCCTGGCTGGAGGCTTCTCCCTGTGATTTAGGTTGTAATTTTATTTGTGGAAATAAACCAATCAGGACGCTCAGATTGTCTTCGGGATGAGGTGATCAATAGCCCATTACTGGATAGCGGAGGTGCAGTGAGGATTTCGACGCATGAATTATGCATGCCCTGCTCATTCTTTAGCCTCCAAACAGAATGACAGGGTTTGTGAAGTCGCCTCAGTTTCTTGCATTGAGTGACTGCAGTGAAATGCTTAATATTTTCAGACGCAGATGCAGCACTGACTGGCGAGCCCGAGTTTGGGAGATGTGAATCCGCAGCTCACAGCCCAGAATGCTTTATTTGAAAGCCTGGCTATGCAGAGCCAGCTTTGCAGTCTTGTAACCTGTTCTCCCCAGAAGGTTGGCTGAAGGATGGGAGCGGCTGTGCCTGCCTCTGAGGTCACAGCTTGAGCTCCTTTTAACTTGCCTTCTGCTGCAGAAGAGAGGCGTGTTGTGCCACAACTGTCCCTGAATGTATTCAAATGGACAATATGCAGTAGATATTACAAACGAGACTGATAGATAAGTCAACCCATAAGGTAAGCCAAGATTTTTCTCTAGGTTAAGTAATTGCAAGGGAGAATGCGCTGAGTTGGGATAACCGTGCTGCGGTTAGAGCAGGGTTGACTCACATCTCCTTGTCCTGCAGCAGCGCCAGGGCTCTCGACTGATATGTTAGCCCAAAGGTGACTTTATTCTATGTGTTTGACTATATGGACTGAGAATATTTTGTTTTGCATGTAAAGGATTTTCAGGAATGTATAGGAGCT